TCATCAGCCACAGAGAACTTTTGTTTTCACTTCACTTGAAAAGAATTACTTCAGTAGTGCAAGCAGATATTTGCAAAAGTCATCAGCAGTATTGTTGGGTTTAAAATTAAAAGCATGCTCTATTTAATTGTGTGCTCAGTGCTGCCCGTGAAATTGCATATGTTTCTGATCTGGTATGAAAAATGATGTAACATTTAACAACATCAGCCACAGAGAACTTTTGTTTTCACTTCACTTGAAAAGAATTACTTCAGTAGTGCAAGCAGATATTTGCAAAAGTCATCAGCAGTATTGTTGGGTTTAAAATTAAAAGCATGCTCTATTTAATTGTGTGCTCAGTGCTGCCCGTGAAATTGCATATGTTTCTGATCTGGTATGAAAAATGATGTAACATTTAACAACTGTCTAAATTTTCCATGAGCATGTCATCCCATTATTTATCATTCGATCACAAGAGTAAATCAAGCCTGGAGAAGCTAGTATGATAAACTGCTTTACAATGCTTTGTAAAAATCTCATCTGAATCCCTGAGTAGACATAATGTTCAAATACCATAGCACCTGCTGTTCCCAATTACTCCCGGGTAATGCAAAAAGAACTACATGCTATGTGCAAACTTCTACCATAACATTCCCAAAAGATAGTTGCATCGAATAAGAAATGATACATTCAATGTAACACCTTATTTTTAACACTTGTTTGTTTTAATGTTTAGGCTGGTTTTTACTTTAGATTCAAAATGTCAAGGGCTTGATTCTCATTTATATTAAGGTCCCTTTATACCACTCTGGCAGCGTAGAGGAGCCTTAAAACCGGTACACACAGTTAAGGCTAAATTATCTTTCTGATCTATTCAGCAGTGACGTTTTTAATACCTTTCCCAGAACTGAAGAAAGAGCTCTGTGTAGCACGAAAACTTGTGTGTCTCACCCACTGAAGTTAGTCCAACAAAAGATATTATCTTACCTGCGTTGCCTCTCCAGTATCCTTGAACCAACAAGGTTTCAACACTGCATATAAAAATGGAAAGGAACACAGAATGAGGGGAACATCACCACACATACACTAACAGCAACAGAAATTTAAAGACCAGAAGATCAAAAGGGGCCACTATGTTCATCCTTTGCAGAGGCCATGTCATTGTTAGCAGAAGCTAGATTAAAGCATATCTTTTAGGAAGCTATCGAAACTTTTGTTTTAAAGACCCAGGAGATTGCGAGTCCACTGCCTCCCCTGATAAGCTGTTCCAGTGTTTAATTACTCTCACTGCTAGAAATTCCATCTTATTTCAAGGTTGAATTAGCCTAAATTCAACTTACAGGCACTGGCTCTTGTTATGCCTTTGTTTGAAAGATTAAAAGGCCCATCGGCATCTGATATCTGCAGCATGTGTAAATAACAATGCACAGTGATCAAGTCGCCTCTCAGCCTTCTCTGTCACCAACTGAATAGACTGAGCACCTTAAGCCTCACATCAAAAGGCTTGTTTTCCAGCCTCTAGGTCATTTTTGTGCACCTCCTTTGAACTCTCTTCAGCATTTCTACATCCTTCTTGAAGTGTGGACACTGCATTCTGGAACTGAACACAGGATTCTAGTAGCAGTCTCACCAAAGCTGTGTACTATGTACAAAGGCAAGGTCACTTGCCTACTTCTATTAGATATTTTCCTTTTTCTTCCTCTAAGGAATGCATTAGCCCTGTTAATCACAGCATAGTATGAAGAATTTATGCTGAGCTTGTTCTACAATGAACCTCCTAAGTTCTTTTCTGAGTTTCTGCTTTCCAGAACGGTCTCCCATCCTGTAGGCATAGCCTGATTTCTTTCTTCTCATATGTATTACCTTGCATTCAGCTGCACTGACACACATTTTGTAGGGTTGTGATAACAAGGCAATTCAGATTACTCTGTTACTTGGCCTCCTCATTTACTACCCCATCAATCTTCGTGTCACCTGCAAATTTAACCAACAAAAGATTTCATGTCATCATTTATATCGTTGATAAAAATATTGAATAGCATTGGACTAAGAACTTAACTCTGAGAGCCCCTTCTAGTAATGGCTTCGTTCACTTATGTTGCTCAGCACATATTGCTAGAAAATATAAATCTAAAATACATTATGGACAAATAGCTGGAGCACAAATTCCTGACAATGAAAACACCAAGAATTATTTGTTGGGTCTCTGAATGCAAACTGGTCTGTGACACTGGAAATAAATGAACAGAAAACAAATCACAAAATAGATACTGGCGCTAAATGCACTGTAATCATAGCAAGCTTACAGAAAATGATTAGTGACTGATACATGTTCAAATTACAAACAAAACTTGTTTCATTTAAGAGGAACAAAATGATCCCATATGGCAATGCCACATGCGCATGTATATAGAAGAAATATTTCTCAGTAGAATTTGAAATGATTAAACAGAAAGATCCATATATGCTTGAGCTGAAGATCAGTCTGTAAATGTTGGTGATCAAATGAGTGTATAACTTGCCTCCTAAATAATTTGATGACTTGATAAATGGACTGGGATCCTTTAAAACAGCCTATTGATCTGGATTCCTTTGTGCTGTCACGAATATATGCATCAAGCAAAATCACCCTAGAGTGACAAAGTAAAACCTGAACTCAGCCAAGGAGCAAAATTGGATGTTATTGAGCAAATGCAAATACCACTGACTTAGGTCATGTTTACATGTCACATCCCTTACCACCTTATTATGTCAACCTAGCTTTTAAGGCCCAACTAACAGCATAGACATTGTAAAACAAACAAGTTTGTTAAGGATATATATACGAGCCACAGGATTTGAATGCAGCCACCAAACAGTAGCACTGCCTCATGAGAACAGCTGTGGTGGCCTAGTCTAGACTTCATAGTCCAAAACTATTTTCAGTTTTGGATGCAAAAGCTTGGACCAATCCAAAGTGCAGAAACTGTAAAGCTCTGCAGTTTCCACTTCCTTCTTAGTAGAGCTGTGTTAATCTGACTTGTATGCTCCTGTGACTCAGTGCCAATGTATTACAACCCATAGCTTTGAGAATTTATACTTGAAGGAAATGACTGTTCATTATCTGCTGATTTGGGGCAAAATGAAGCACACCACAACAAGAGACTGTTAGAGTCTGCAGCAAGAAAAAAAAAAGAACAGGAAAAATGCTGATCGGGGAGAATAAGATTAGTTACACATGACACAGCATGAGTAACAAAGGATTTTGATCAGAGCCTAGAAAGATGGCAATTCTACAAACAGATTTTAAAACAAGGAGGTCTTTCAGAGAGTCATGACTATGTCAGCATATTTAAGCCAATTCATCCCTAGTTTGTCCTAATCAAGTGTTCCGCTTGAAATGCAGCTAGAGAACAGGACAGAATGGCAGAGGGATAAGTAGCAAAAGAAATGCTTTGGGGAGTTTAAAACAAATATTTCAATAAAGTTCTGGTGTTTGCAGGTTAACAAATACCCTGAAATCTCAATCATATCATATGCATTTGCCTTGGTGAGTTGCTGCAAAAGTGTCACACACTGGCCTGTGTTTCTAAGCATTGTGTAATAAACAACAGAAATACGTTCAGACTAAACAAGAAACGCTCGTCCACTCTACCGTGCCCAGAAGGATTCTTAGAAGTGTCTGATAAGTCCCCTTTTAGCCACAGCCAGGCAGAAACACTGCAGTTGATAGTATGGGCCAGACCCCTGACTACAACTGAAACGGATGGAGCCCTATCCAAGGGAGTGGTGTACAAAGATAGCTTAAAGTTCAACTTTGCACTCACTTGATGCAGTGCTATGTAGCACTGGTCCTGTTGTGAGCTTGTGATGAGCAGCAGTGGTTAAAGGGGGCCACACGTTCAGTCAATAAGTGGCATACTTGAGGGACACCCTAGCCTAACCTTCTTTTGACAGGTCATGTTCTATTTGCACTCCAGTGCTGACAGCAGGTGGGGCATAGCAGCTCCTACACCAATTCTATAGCACTACAAGATTAGGAAGGTGATCCTTCCTGGGCCAGTTAAGCCACTTTTAGGACCAGATTATACTGGTGACATGGTACGCAGCATCTACTCCCCTCCAGAGGATCTGGTCCTCGTTGGTACAGTTCTGGGAAACAGGATATAATATATCCATGTGCCTTAAAGGAGACTTCCACTTTGAAGGGGGAATATATACTCTGTCTTCCTTCCTCTCTCTAGCACGGACAAGTCGTCTGGTAGGAACTCAACTTGCCTAATGCAGACAGTTTGGGTTATTACTGATTAATATTGGCCAATAGATCATAATTCAGATTTATATTAAAATGTCACCACTGATTGTAAATTATTTTACAGAGGAATTAGAGATGGGTTTTTACACTCCGAATATTTTTATTGTGAGTGAATATGAACCAAAACACCTATTTGGATGGGCTGTTTTCCACATAGGACTTGTGTAGATTTTTTTAGATCCAAAGAGCCTCAGATCTGTCTACAGAGGACCATGTTTAAAATGTAATACTAGGTTGTTTAATTGCATTAGTGGGGACCTGGATTGTTTTTAAATAAAGGTTTAAAACTTCACTGTGGCTGTTCTTCTTTGTACAAGCCCCAGAAATGCTTTTGAAGGTTTAAACCCTTTGCCGCCTGGAGAAGGCAACTATTTGATGACATAAAACATGGGCACTAATATTAATAACATACATGCATTACTATTTGACCATGGGAGAGGAGAAACTCTAGAAAACAGAATGGCAATTGTCTCCTTCCCCACCTCTAGTGAAAATGAAAATATGAAGACTGAAACAATAGCTATTATGAACATTTTTAACATGTCAAAATTAAAAGGCAAAAGAAGAGATTGCATGGCAAAGTTATATAGATATCTTCAAGTTCATATGGAGAATGATGCAAGCATTTTGTAATAGAACTCATTT